TGAGCCAAAGCGGAAATGTTCAAATTTGGATCACCAGGAATGCATTACCATGCGCCAACGCACTGTTAAGAAAGTTTTGTATGTGATTTTCTTTGATAATAAGGGACCAGTAATGCAAATTCCGTACCAAAAGGCAGAACGGTAACAGCAAAGTTTTACACAAATAGTACCTCAAGTACCTCTGGCTTTTGCATGATAATGACCCCGCTAATAAGGCTATGCTTTCGACCGAGTTTTTTTTTGGCATCAGGAAAAGGTACTGTCCTTCCGCACCCTCCATAATCACCAGACTTGGCCTCTTGTGACTTTTTCTTGTTTCCAAAACTCAAATTACATGTATCTGGAAAGAGATACAAGTCGAGAAATGCTCTTGGGTCTACTGTTAATTACTACCTTATGAGTGTCCCTATTATGAACTCTGCTTCAAAGTTGGATTGAGCGACTCCAACGGTGTGTTCAAGTAGGTGGGGAGTATTTTGAGAGCCAGAGAAATTTGAAATGGTGAAAATACTTTTAGTTTAGAAACACAAAGGCAAATGACATTATTTTTGGAACACTCCTGTTATATTCATTAAAAAAGGGAATGAAAAGGATATTGCTAGTAGAAATTGTAAAATAATAATTTACATTTGATTGCATGAAAAGGCTCAATCAAACCGAGCCGATATAACGCGTTATAGATGAAAGCTTTGCAAGTTGCAGAACAGCTTTATGAAATATATTACTGTATTTATTTCTCAAAGTGATTTGTCGAATGTTAAACATAATTGATTCGATAACAGTACAAAAGGTACTGATCAAACATACCTAAGTCGATCGCAAAATACATGTGCAATCCGCTCAGTTGTTAAGATTTGTTTTCAATCCCAACATATGTGGAATACAATTGTAGCTAACTCAATCCATGAGATATTTTTCAAAATAGGATTGAAGTCCATTATGGTGTATCCACTATATTGAAAGATTCCAAGGTAAAGAAAGACGACGAAGATGGGACAAAAGTTGTCAGCAAAAACAAAGACTGTCTTTCTCAGATTTCTTGCAAGTGCGAGTTTTCAATACAGAAAATAAATACAATGAGTCAACTGTCTTAAAATATGTAACAACACAGACGTCCTTTTCTGTTCCTAATTTTTACGTCACAGTGACCAATTGCTGCATTGCTGCATGTCCGAGTTAATATAACAAGGTAGGTTCCAGCGCTGTTAAGTGTTGACAATTGAGTACCGTTCAAGCCGGTATTAGGGGGCTTAAAAGATGTTTCACTTTCTCGTTATTCCTCATGTACAGACTCAAATAAATCGAGCCTGCAATTTTCTATAATTTTGTTGTGATTCATGCTTGGGAAGGCTCACACTTTCTCCAGATTCTTTTACCTATATTAGTTGCTATGTCCTTTTTCAATTTGCAATATCGTTATCAGGTTTTTGCAAATTGTATTGTAAATTTATATAGAGACATAAGTTGATCAGTCCGATACTTGCATTCAAAGGCAATATTCATAATTTCAAATTCTCAGTATGCTTAACTATGATTAAGATCAACTCAGTGTTTCATACTTTTTGCCACACAAAAGTTTTTGCCTTCTTTTATACCACTGCCACATAGAAAACGCCTTTTGTTTTTGTTTTGGTGCCGATGTTTGAAGGTCAAGGTCACAATGACAATGAATGTTAAACCTTTTTCCGATAAATAACTTGAAAATCATTTAGCCCATAGCTTCTAGCTTCAAAAGATGATAACCGATTGCCCTTTTTCAAGAGAAGAAAAGAAGAGCCGTGTGCCCTCTGCTGTTTTCTTTCTGCTTGGTGTCTGACAGAGCTCCTTGTCGGTGTTGCTTGGTTGTTATGGGGGATGTCTTCCTTGAATGCTTTCCTTTCCTGTTTTCATATTTTAGGTGCTGATACATGAAAGCCCTAGTTACATTGACTGTAAATTTACGCTTAATAACGTAAGATAGCATACAAACTTCATAGGATGATCACCCTTATTGAGTAGAAAACACCGCTTATTTTCAGCATCTAAGCGTGAAAGTCAAGGCCATAGTAACCTTACATGTGAAAGCTTTTTTACGCTCAAAAAGTTTTTAAAGTGACATTATGCCCATCCAAGGGTATAAAGTGAGTGAACAGGTGAATATCAAAATAAGTTTTCATTTTACCATAATTACATTTAATTAAATAATTTACTTCCCATAAACAATAATTAATGCACAGATCCAAATAAAATTCTTTAAATATCTATTAGAATTTACCTCTAACGCTCAGTTTATTAAAAGCGTGGGGCAGTCTTTTTATATTTAGGCAGATTTATAATTTTATCCTGAACGTTTTCAAATATCAACTCTTGGTAAAACATCATGCATTTTAACAGTCAATCTTTTGAAATATAAAGTCAAATCAGCTATACTTGACAATGAAAATATGAGCATAATGCCACTTTAACTAACTTATTATCACACAAATTATCAAAAAGACAGAATTTGTTTTAGACACAATTATAGGTTATTGTGACATTTAAAGGGATGCCTGTTTCTGCTAATTGACTAGATACGCATTTGACATTTAATATTCATAGGATGATCGCCTTCATTGAGTGAAAGGATCTTAATATTTATTTTTGGTTGACACAGAGGCTTATGAATTCATAGGATAATCAACCCTATTGATTATAAAAATTCCTTTAGTTTTAGAGCATTGATGCTTAAAAGAAAAAGTCAAAGTGATCATGAATGTGAAGATCTTTATGCTCATTAACTAGAGTATGGACAACAATTAAATTCAATGTTTTTATACACTCGAAAAAATACTCGGCGAATATGATTTAATTAAATTGAAACCATTTGGCGGAAATGTTAACCATAATGAGACTATGTTAAAAGCGAAGTTTTGACTTTCCTAAGGTAATGGTCATACTTAGTCATTAGACTTAATTATCAATTAAAAAGATTGTGTTTGCTTTGTCTTTCTAACCCGCTAGAAGTGAAGTCATACCCCTTAGATAAATACTGGCCCCTCCCCGGTGGTCACTTGATTTATATAGACTTATATAGGAAAATACATTTTAGTCTTATTCTGTGACACTACAATGCACAGAGCTTTGATTTTGGTACAAAGCAATGTGCTTGTGGACCTCCAGAAAACTAATATGTATCAATTCCCCTTGGGTCAATACTTGCCTCGCTCCGGGGTCACTTAGTTCATATAAACTTTTAAAGGAAAACACATTCCGGTATTATAAGGTGTAAAATGCCAAGACGTAAGATATAATGATTGTTTTCTTACATGTACACAATTGTTACAGGGGACATTTTTTTATCATGTAGATTAGCTACTTAAGAATAGTTTTTGTCATGAACATGTAACATACCCATTAATACAAAGTCCTCTAAAATTCTATTAAAATATTCATCAAGACAAACAATATGTATTCTTCTAGGTGGCAATTTATTTGTGATAGTTCCAACAACTCTTGAACTTACATAATGGCATAAATAGAACATAATAAAACATAATTTCTTTTATTTCTAATTATAATTACACATACTAAATGGGACTAGCTACGAGGCTTGATGATAGAATATATATAGACAGAGGAATAAAGGATGATTATTTACAAAAGAAAACAACAACAAAACATCCAAGACAGACACTCTTCTACAAAGGTTACATTCATCATGACTTTCAAGTCCCTTGGGTTATACGCCTTATGACCACTGATGTTTAAGGAAACACACCTTATCTTTTTGTGGAAAACTACAATGCTCAGAGCTAATATATTTGGCATGTAGCAATGTCTAGTAGACATCTACTATTTATAACTGACCACATTTATTTATGTTAACATTAAATGTGTGAAATAAAGGAAATTTTACTTCAATATGAAATATGAATCATGCGCCAGGGTCAAAATTGTTCCAACAAAAGGGATCATTTAGTGTTAAATGGATAATTAAGATAAAACATGTTTTGGTAACGTTCCGTCAAAAATTGAAAGATTATTTTTGATTACTCAAACAAATTTTTCATTCGGATGTATATTGCCCCACCTTATCGGTCCTCTTGTTAATTTATAAAAAGACCACACATTCATTGTTATATCTATTTTGATAATAAATAATGTTATATCTATTTTGATAATAGATAATAAGTATATATAAGAGTTAAAATTGAATATCAAGAGTTATCATATGTTTTGACATGCATTTGGGGCATTTGATTGACAGATTTACTTTCCAAAAATTAATTATGTGATTAAGAAATTTTCCTTTGCTTGTTTAACTACTTTTAGAGACAAACTTGATTAAATTACTCACAAAAAAGATGTGAAAAACTTTTTCATGTGTTGAAATTAAATTCATTTTTTATTATTTCCTTCTTGTTTCTTACCTTTTGTGAATATTTCATCAGTTCTTGATTGTACGATAAAAGCAAACAAAATAGATTCACTTATTTGCAAAGGATTAAAGCAAGGTGAATTACATGCTAAGTGTATAAAGCTATGCATTTGCTGTCTGTACTTTATAACATTTTTGTTTGAATGTATTTTTTATACTTTAAAATACTTGAGTTAAATACAAATGTGCATATATTTCTTTAAAGGCTAACGAGGAATGCACATAAAATGTTGCTTAACGGTTAAAATCTTACTTAATAGTTAGCATAATTATTTGTTCCGGAACCTTTTATTCTGTTTACATGAAATATCCATAATTGCTAAATATAATAGACATTTTACATTACAACTCTTTCGGAAATCGACTATAAGACTATAAAAGCATGCCATATAAATATTTTATAGAACGTATTTCATTAGATATAGCTTTATACCATTTAAGTGTGTACTTTCACTCATTCATTCATGAATAAATACCATTACATATAATTTTCTTAGTAAATTTTACGATGATAACTTATTGTTATTACGAATTTATGCCTTTTAATGGACCAAATAAGATTTATTTTGTATTAAAAATTTGTCAAGTATATTTTTATTTTCAGATTCAAAGTCCGTGTGAAATAACAAACTTACGAGATGAACGCTTCGTCTACGAAATGCGATAGACAACGTAATCTTGGATGTTTGGCTTTATTCTAAGGAATATATGCCTGCAATATTTTTATACATGGGGAAAAGGTATTTGTCTTTAATTCGGGGAACGACTGTACTTGAAGCGATAAAGAATATTTGCACGTTGAAGCTTCAACCATGGAATTAAGCAGCAATGACGGAATAACTCATTCATTTCCAAATAATGTGATGCTTTAAATTCTCCAAACTTTGTGCGAATGCTTTACAATAATGACACAATAGATACTCGAATATTTTCAACATCAGAACAAGATGTATGCACACTTTCTGAAACAACACGTCATTCTAAACTGAATCAAGAAGCAATGAGCAAGCTGGTGATAATAATGGAAAAGGCTATGGATACTGGAGCGTAGAATGCCATGTTTACTGAATAGACAGGATGTGACTTTCAGTTGAATTGATAAGGTACAATTCTTATTTTCTCTCAACCGTAAAAACATGTCTCAAATTTTTTAAGTTGAACTTTTCTTATAATCGATTTAGAATCACATGCATTTCCTAGTAGTTAACTTTTCTAATTACCTCTCAAAGAATTCGATGTCATGTGGATATGTCACTTTTTTCGGGGATATGCGTTAATTGAATGCCACCCTTCCTTCATGATATTGTTTTTTTTTTCATATTTAATTAATGATCACCACATTTGACTTCATGTCCTTCAGACTAAAAACACGACCCATCAACTACTCATTGCCCAACTACACGTCATTCGAAATTGAAATTGTTACAAAAATAAAAACGGTGTAAATTGTAGCCTTTTTATAACACCTAATGAAATGTATGGCACTGATTAAAATTATTTCTGCCGAAATATTTTAAGCTAAATTTCAATAAAAAAAAATATTGTGTACTGTCTCTTCTTTTTCTCATTAACTACACATTCTGTTAAACATGTCTCTTTGTATTGCATAGAATATATTTCACTGTATCGGTTCAAGCTGAAAATAAAATGTCTCAAATATAACAAGGACACAAAAACTTGTGTTGATAACAATAAAAAAAGCATCATACCATTAATACTCCCCAACTGGTTTAACCGGAGGGGACTTAAGGTTCACCCACCGTCCGTTTGTCTGGGCGGACATGAGTTTCATTCCGTCTATAATTTTAGTTTAAAAAAAAGAAATCCCATAAACCGACTGGTTTATATGTGTTTATTTTTACTGGTTAATTTGGAAAAGTGCCACATAAAGATCAAAGAAAAACACATCAACCCCAAATATTGGCACGTCCGTCCATCCATCCGTCCACAAAAACTGGCTAACTTGCTATGGCAACAAATAGACTTAAAATATGTCAAAATAACACAAACAACAGTCACTATTTGTTTCAACGCTCGACTTTATTATATTTTCTTTAAGCAAACAAATTATCGGTTTAAACAATCTTACAAAAATTATTTAAGATGAGGGTATGAGCCTTTCCATAAATAAAGACAAAAATGACAAATATAAGCAAACTTCCATAATTTGACTGTCAAAGTCATTTAACGGTCAAAGTAATATCTAAATTACCCGGTATTCAACATGTCCGTTTGGTCACAAGAGTTGCTTTGTCCACATATGAATGAAATCCTTACATGAATAATAAAAGTATGACAAACTAACCAACATTCAATAATTTGACCTTGATGGTCAATGTCATTTAAAGCTAAAGGTCAAGGTCATACATTATAAAAGGTCTTGTCAAAAGAGTTGTTTTGTCCAAGTCATGAAAAAACATTGATTGATGACCAAGGTTCATTCAATTATAGCAAAAAATAAATGAAAATTCAATCATTTGTTCTCCAAGGTCATACATGCGTAATGGTCAATTCAATCTTGATAAAAAATAAAGGTCCTGACCTAGATGATGTTGTGTCTAAATATGAAAATAGTACATATATAAATAACAAAGTTATAGCCAGTCAAGCAAATAAACACCAAAAGAATTTCATTAAGTTGACCTTGACTATTAATGTCAATAAAAGGTCTTTGTCATATTTAAATTATTCAATACGTTTGTTTGGTAGCAAATTTTTTGTGCAAGTATAAATGAAATCTGACAAAAATAACAAAATTATGACAATTTTACCAAAATTCAATTAATTGACATTGAAGTTTTAAATCATTTTAAGGTCAGGGTCAAGGTCAGTTCAACCTTTCATTCAGTCTTGTCCAAAACGTTGTTTTGTCCAACTAAGAAGATAATCCATTGATTGAGTATCAAGTTAGAGTCAATTATAACAAAAATAATCACTAAAAATTCAATAATTTAATCTTCAAGATCAAGTTCAGTAATAAGTCAAGGTCAATCTGAGTTTGATAGACCAGAATGTACTGACCTCAAAAAGATGTTGTTTCTAAATATAAAGTGAATTCATTTATAAATAACAAAGTTATAGCCTATAAAACAAAAATCAAGTGAATTTCGTCAATTTTATCTTGAAAGTCAATGTCAGTTAAAGGTCAAGTTCACATCTAAACTATTCAATATGTTTGTTTGGTAGAAAGTCCTCTTTTGCTAAAGTATAAATGAAATTTGTATATAAATAACAAAATAATTTAACCAAAATTCAATAATAATTTGACATTGAAGTTCTAAATCATTTTAAGGTCAAGGTCAGTTCAAGGTTTCATTATGTCTTGTCCAAAATGTCTTCATTTCTTTCTGGACTCTCTCATCAAAATGATATGACAAAGTTGTTTCATCTACTGTCCACATATCCAGAATTATCTCCTCCATTGAACTTTGAACTTCTCTTTTTTATTCTAAAGGAGGGATTTACAGACAAGGATTTTTCTAAAAATAGATTCACTGATAAGAAATACACATAGCAACAGTTGCTGGTCGTTCCGACCTGTTACCAGTCATTTAGAATTAATACTACAGTGTTGAGTCAATGAAGAATTATCAGTTTAACTTAATTTTACAGTGTTAATGTATGAAATTTTAATTCCAGATACAAAGTTAAAACATAAATGCATCGGATAGGGTATGCCCATTATTGAGTGATCATTATGTGTGACAGAAAGAGTACATGGATTTTAAACTGTCAATAAAAGAACTCATATACAGTTCGATTTGGTTATTATTAAGAATCTTTTTTTTTCCACAAAAGAAAGGAATAAAACTTACAATACCTAATAATAATTGCCTAATTATTCTTGTAAAGGATTTTTCAGAACAAAAATATTCTTTTTTGAAGATGAATGTCCAACTTAGGTCATTGATTACTGAATGTAATTTTGAAACCTGTCTCACCTTTAATTGTTATTTCTAAGCATTAGATTTTGATCATTAATATTTATGTATAAAAGTCAGAGCATTCAATTTTAATTAAGTTGACTTCTATAATTATTCCCTTTTGTACCAATATGAAAAATTCTGATTCAGAGGATATTTGTTAAAACGCTTGTAAAACTATACTTTTTTACAAAGGAATTTTTACATTTCTTGGATTTAAAATCACATTTTTGATGAGAAAGAATTAATCATACTTTGATTAAAACATTTAGATCCAGAAGATTATCATGCTTTTATTTAAATTCTAAAAAGATATTATGACTTAATAATTAATACTTGGACCCAGAAGAATAATAAAACCTGGATTTAAATCTAAATTTTGAGGAAATTAAATCACATGTATATATTCAAAATACCTTAGTATTAATGTTTTTGTTTAGAAAGTTTATTAATTCATTATTTTTTTTAGAGAGGAGAGTTGATAACCTAACTTTACTTTATTTTTTATTCACAGGATTAATTATCTACTTAGATTTATTTTTTTCTTGTCAAACTTGGATTTAAATTAATTAAGGTTTTGATTCAGAGGTTAGTTCTTATAGAAAATTTTCTAGATTTGAATTTTTTGATACAGAAGATTTATTAATTTCAAATGGCATATTATAATTGCAATTGTTTACTCAAATGTTATTTTTAGCTCGACTTTCGATAAGAATAAGTAGAGCTATTGCAGTCACCCGAGCGTCGGTGTTAGCGTCCGCGTCGGGGTAACCACTTATGTTTAAGTTTTTGTAATACCTCAAATATTTTCAAAATTCATTGACATATGGCTTTGAAACTTTGCACATTTGTTCACCATCATGACCCCAACCTGTAGACAGGTGGAGGTAACCGTATCAAGCATTTTGACAAAATTATGCCCCTTTTTTTGAATTTTCGTTATAGTTTTTGTAATACCTCAAATATTTTCAAAGTCCATTGACATATGGCTTTGAAACTTTGCACACTTGTTCACCATTATGACCCAAACCTGTAGACAGGAGCAGGTAATTCTATCATGCATTTTGACAGAATTATGCCCCTTTTTCGAATTTTCGTTATAGTTTTTGTAATACCTCAAAAAAAAAGTCCATTGACATATGGCTTTGAAACATGATGAAATTTTATACTCTTTGAGAGAATAATATGACTCTCTCCAAGGCCTATAACTGTAACATGGATTTAAAGAGAAAAAAAATCCCTTTTGTTAACTTAGGAAATTTTACATTATCAAGGCTTTTTTACTATCAAGCACTAAGAATAGCCGAGCGTTGCTGTCTTACCGACAGCTCTTGTTATCATTACAGTTCAATTTTCTTCCTTTTTAACTGACACATATCTAAAAATTATAATAAATGTTGGCTTTACTGATTTCAAAAGTTTAAGTTCAATACTTTTATAGTCCGAAATAAGTCCTCAAATGAAAATTCGAAAAAGAACGAAAAGACTGGGAAACAATAAGTAGGTGAAATGCGAAATTTGAAAAGACAATGAAAATCAAAATGTGACGCCATTCATTTAGTGAATTGTCTGCAAAAATTTACTTCTCGATGTAATAGAAAACGAAAAGTAAGGAAAGCATTATAGCACCTTTTAATGACAGTTGAATTGAAATATATAGCATTACATAGAGAGTGTTTTCTACCAAAAGAATCATTAGAATTGATGATATTATGTTTATTCATATTATGTTATTATATTTCTCTTTTTATGGTAAGAAGCAAAATATTTGTTATTTTTATGTTCTAAAGGTGTTACTCTGTGATATGATTATTCTTGCAAGTTAACAAAACTGCTGCCTAAATGATAAGAAGTATTAACAAAATCAACGCTATCTAGCTACCATCATAAAAAAGGTGTGAAAACAATGAAAGTATTTATTTACAATTATTCAATCAGTAAGACATCTCAATAGCTATCTTTTGAGAATCTGTACGACAGGTGGCAAATGATATAAGTTCATACATGTCTTCCGCAATGGCATAATGGACATGGCCCTTCAGAATGTTGCTGGGGTTCTAACGGATAGGGAACTTTTGCATTACTTCCAGTACTTTGATAATTGCTTGTTTATCTATTTTTCAATTTTGAAATAACTTACGTAGTGGTCGATCAACAAAGCGTTGTGTTTTTTTAACAAT